GCCCGCCCCCCTCCCAGTGCCCCTCCACCCCCCGTGTCCTTCATTCCCGTACTTGTCCTCAGGTCATTATTGTCCTTTGTGCAATGCGGGCGCTCGGGCTCGCCGCCGGGGAAGGGCGCGAACGGTTTATAGCTTCTGTCTTCCTAGTGTGTGTGTTTATGAGTGTGTGTGTGTCTGGGTGTCTGTGTGGGTATACATGTGAACGCACTTGTGTGTGTGGCACTCCACGTAGTTTGGCTAAGAGCTAGATAAGAAGATTATGTCCTCCATTTGTATATCCGTTAATGTATACGTATTCCTTTCAAGACTGTCCAGCGCACAGTCCTAACCGCCCTCCTTCTCGCCGCAGACGGGCTGGTGTCGTACTCCATGGCCCAGGGACAGGACCGCGGCATGGAGGTCGACCTGCTGGACCTGAGCTACGACGGCACGACCACCGAGGGCCTCCTGTACGGCGGCCTCGGCCAGCTCCACGACGGCATCACAGGCGACCACAACTTCCGCACCGACATCGGACACGGGAAAGGTAAGGAGGGGGAAGGAGGGAGGAGGAGAGGGCAAAGGGGGTGGGGGAGAGGACGAGAAAGATTGGGAGAGGAGAGGGTAGGGGGAGGGGGGAGGAGGAGTGGGTAAAGAGTGTGGGGGGAGGACGAGAAGGATTGGGGTAGGAGAGGGTGCGGGATAGGGAGGGGGAGGGGGGAGGAGAGGGTAAAGGGGGAGGACGAGAAAGGTTGGGGGAGGGGATAGGGAGAGGGGAGGGGGGAAGGTGAGAAGGAGAGGGGAGGGAGGACGCAAGTGGTAGTACGAAGATGGATCAGGAGTAACGGTGGAGAGGGGAAATTAAAGATAAGATAAGGATTAGAGGGAGAGGAGAAATGAGGACAGAGGTTAGTGGCTAGAAAGGGGGGGAGGAGAATGAGGCTATAGGCGAAGAGAGAGTTGGAAGAGAGGGGATGAAAGAAGGGGAGAGGGTGGAAGGGGGTGAATGAACAGGGTTGTATGAAGGAGAGAGATCAGAAGGGGAGAAAGGTAAATGAGAAGAATTAGAGAGGGGAGAGTATAAAGGAGAGAGGATAGAAGATGGATAACAAAAACCTAAAAAAACAAAAGGAGAAGAAGGAATCGAGGTTAAAGAGAGAGTAGGTAAAGTGAGAGAAGAGAGAAGTAGTAGGAAGAAGAGAGAAATTGAAGAAAGGGGAAAGGGGGAACAAGTTATAGGGAAGAAAATAAAGAATGAAGAACTAGGAAAAGTGGGGAAGAGAAGGAGCAGGATTTGAGGAAGAAAGATGAGAAAGAAGGGGGGAGGGGTAGAGAAGAAATTTTATGTGATAAGGAATAAGTAAAGAGAAAAGGAAAGTGAGAGAGGTGGATTTGGAGAAGAAAAGAGTGAAGGAAGAAGTGAGACAAAGGGGGATAAGGAAGCGAGAAGAAAGGTCCATCGGAAAGCGGGAGCGAAACCGTGCGAAGGCGGGATAGAAGTTTGGCAAAAACGGGATTTATTCAGGGACGAAAAACTCTCCTTATTATATCGTCAGCCACGCTTATTCTTCCTTTTTTTATTAGTTTTTCTCTTTATTATACATTTTTTTATTTTCATATTTTTTCTCCCTCTTTTGTTTTTAATATGTTCGCGAGGCTATTGAGAAGAGCTCGAAGCTTCCGCTCTCCGCCGTCAGACTGTCGCATTCCCACGGCCGCTAAAAAAGGCATTCGCGGAGCCGTCCTTGGGGAGCGCGATCTGCTTCATCTGGCGCTGACGCTGAGTCCTCGGAGGCTGGCGTGGCGGCGATACTGGTTGTCATAGTAACCTCTGCGCGTCCACAAACACACGAATAGATGCATGTACATGTTATTTACTGATTATTAGATGAGTGAGAGGGGAAAAAATACCCCCTTGCCCCTCCTCCATACCCTCTTCCCTCTCTCATACCCCTCTTACCTTACCATACCCCTCCCCCATACCCCCTTACCCCTGCGCCATACTCCCTTACCTCTCTCATACCCCGTTACCCCTCCGCCATACCCCCTTACCTCCCCTCCCTCCTCCCTCCTTCCCTCCCCCGAGCCGTAAATATCATCTGTTTCTTGACAAATGATCCGGAGAACAAAGTCCGGCCATTAGGCGCCCTGTCATCCGGATTCAGCAATAATAGCGGGGGAGGAAAAAATAGAATCGAGCGTGTTTGATGTAGAAAATTTCGCATAATTTGAGGCGACGCACGATGAGGCAACGCGCGCTGTGTGTGTGTGTGTGTGTGTGTGTGTGTGTGTGTGTGTGTGTGTGTGTGTGTGGGTGTTTGTGTGTGTGGGTGTATTTTTTTATGTATGTTGGCATTTATGTGTGTTTGTATTTGACTTTGTGTGCTTTTATGTGTGATTGCGCCGTATTGTGTACATACTTACGTATATCTGTTTCTCTTTACATACACATATTATCATTCTTACATTTATCTACACGTTCCGACATATGTAAGTATTTACACACGCGTATATTCCCGCA